CAGTCATGTTATAAATTTGCATTTTCAAAGCAAGTGTTACAGAACTGATTGTATTATATACTAAAAGTATTTTAAAAGATGTAGTAAGTTTAAATGTTTATGTTAATAAATTTAACTGTTTTACTTTGTTCCAGTTAATTTACACAGTGCTATAAGATCCCAAGTACTAAATTTCCACAGGCAACTTAGTCCAAGAGAGATGGAAAGCACATAAGAATGTAATTCTCAAGGGATAAAGGGAAACAATTCCAATATAATGATTTTTCATTTTTCTAACAAAACCTGAAGTTGCTTGAAGAGACAAATGTGAATACACAGGGAACTAACCAACCAACAGAGATTTTAAAATCATATAGTGGCAACAGCATGAATTTTGGAGTCAGGACCTGTCTTCAAATTCCACACCTTTCCTTAAACTTCAGTTTCATCATCAATAAAATAAGGATGATGGACTAGATGATCTCTGAGATTCCTTCCAGCTCTAGAGTTATGATCTTATGATCCTAGGATGGAAGCAGGCCAGGTAAAAAGAAAATGAATATGATTGTGCCACAATCCCATAAAATAGTGTTAAGAAATGATAAAGCCCAGAATCAGCCAAAAACGGAGCAAGGAAAACTATGGACAAGGTGTTGTTATTGAGTTTTTTTTTTTTAATTTTTCATTTTTAATAGCTATATAGGAGAAAGAGCAAAGAATCAAACAAGACATAGGACTGTTGCTTGGGGTGGATAGAATGATAATGAGTTGGCAAGGAGAAAGCAAAGGTTAGTTCAATTACGTTCATAAATCTTGAGTTAGAAGGGACCTCAGAGACCATCTAGTCCAATTTGTTTATTTTAAATATGAAGAAACAGGTCTGCAGAGTTGAAGTGATTTTGCCCAAGGTCACACAAATGGAAGGATCAGGGATAGGAGTCGAATACAGGTTTTCAGACTCCAGAGCTACAGCTTTTCCCACTATAGCTATGTAGCTTTCTTTTTTTTTTGACAAGGAAGACTTTTGCATTTGAAAAGATTGAACAACAAACAACAGCTAAAAGGGAGTTGATACCCAATATAAATAAAAGATAGTAAGAATCCTAAACTGCTTTTGATGATTTTAGGTCACTGGGTCCAGATGGAACTTTGACTTTGAATAATTAAAGAACTATTAGATATGATTAGTAAGTTATCATAATGATCTTTAAAAGACAGTAAGAGAATGGGAGAGTTTTACCTGTCTGGAAAAAAGTAAATATTATGAATCTGCAAACTATAGGCCACTGAGCATGATGTAGATTACTGGAAAAATTCTAGAAAAAAACATTAACAAGACAACTGATGAACATTTAGAAGGAAACAGTGATGATAAAAAGCCTTCAAAAGATACTTCATCAAGAGAGTTATGCTAGACTAACGTTCTTGATAGTATTTCAAAGTAGATCAGGTGAATGCTGAAGATATTTAGTTCACCTGAGGTTTTAGCAAAAAAAAAATTGTGAAAAATGTGGGATTAAAGCAATAATACAATTAGATGGATTAAGTACTGGTTCCTGGATTCAAAATAATATTTAAGGGTTCAATGTCAATTTGGAATATTCTCAGGTGGAGTGCTGCAGGAATCTGAGCTAGGTTGAGTTGTTTTAACATTTTTGTTAACTCCTTGGATAGAAGTATAGTGGCATCCTTATTAAATGTGCAGATGACAGAAAGCAGAGAAAGGTAACTAATGCAAGGAGTGATATGCAATGTTAATATTGACAGTCTAGGTTGAACCTAAAAAGATGAAACTCAATTGGTATAAGTATAAAATTCAACACAGATTTTAAAAAACAACTTTTTACAAGTACAAGATGAGAGAACCATTGTTACAAAGCAGTTTGTCTGAAAAAAGATGTGGAAGGTTTTGTGGATTGCAAGCCCAGTGAGTCAGCAGTATGATATATTAGCCCGAAAAGCTAAAGGGATCTTGGGTTACATTATGATAAGTTTAATGACCATGCTTACAGAAGAGCAGTACTCCGCCTAGTCAGACCACATGTGGGGTATTGTGATAAGTTTTGGGTGCCACATTTAAGGAAGGACATTGACAAGGTGAAGAGTATCCAGCAGAGGGCAACAAACACAGTGGAGTCTATGTCAAAAGGAGAGCAACAGAAGAATTGGGGCTGTTTAGCCTGAAGAAGAAACTTATTTATGTGATAACTGTATTCAAGTGTTTGAAAAGCTGTCATGTGGATACGCGATTATGCTTGTTCACTTGGGCCTGGGAGTAGCAGAAGCAGCAATGGGTAGAAATTACAAAGGGGAAAATTTAGGACACAGGAAAATACTTAACAATTAGGGGTATCTCAAGGTGAAACAGGCTGTCTCAATGGAATTGCATTCACCTGTAATGAAGGCCTTTAAGTAGAGACTAGATGACCGATTATGTCATGGAGGATTTCCTTTTCTAATTAAGGGTGGTACTTAAATGGCAAAAGAGGTCCCTTCAAATGCCACAATTAATGTGTTTCCGAGTAACAGGCTCAAAGAGGGTTAAGTGAGTTGACCAAGGTCTCAAATGATAAAAAGGTCTCAAAACCAGATTTTCTGATTCCAAATCATCTTTCTACCATGCTGCCCTAGGGAGCTTACAATCTAAGATAATTAAATAAGTGACTTGAAGGTATGATCACTCTCAGCAGTGGGAAACAGGGAGGTGGTCCCTAGGTTGGGTCTTTGAAAGAGGAGATTGGGAGGGAAGGAGCCCATTCCAAATATGTGGTAAAGGTAAGACCAAAGACAAAAGAGGTCGGGTGGAAAATACAGAATGATCCATTTAGACAGGGAAGTTGATTAAAGTAGTATGAGATGAGGAAGGGTAGGTTGGAGCCAGATTATTGGATCTTGTACACCATGACATGTAGGTTTTTATTTGCTCAATGGGTAAGATTTTGGGGCACAGGATCAGACCAGTGCATTAGGAAAATTATTTAAATAAGAAATGTTTAAAATGGATTGGAGAAGAGATACACTAGAAGCAGGAAGAAGAGCTAAGAGTCATTTACAATTTTCTAAATGAAAAATGAGGATTTTAAGTACGATGATTACAGTGGAAAAAGGAGGGAGAATGGAAGGACACCTATGTGGTCAAAGTATATGAACAGGCAGCAAGCACATGAAAAAATGCTCCCAGTCATGAATAATAACTAGCACTTACTTTAAGATTAAACTTTAAGATATGCAAAGTACTCTACAAACAGCTCATTTTATCTTCATAACCCTGGGAGGTAGGTACTATTATTATCCCCATTTTACAGAAGAGTAAACCGAAGCTGAGAAAGACCAACTTGCAAAGGGTCAAACAGTTATAGCCTGAGGCTGAACATGGACTTATAAAGTCTTCTTGACTCCAAGTCCAGCATTCTATACACTGTTATATAGCAGCCTCCAATAAAAGAAATGCAAATGAAAACACTACCTCACCAGATATGCAAAAATGACCAATGACAAAAATGGTAAATGTTATTAGAGGAGCTGTGAAGATAGGTACACTAATACATCGGTGGTGGACTTATGAAATGGTTCAACCATTCTGAAAAAATTTTAGAAATATACTTCAAAATGTCACTAAGTGGCACATGTCCTAACCCAGTGATACTACTAACAAGCTTATCTAACAAGGAAGCAACAGTCACATATGCACAAAAATACTGACAGCGACTCTGTGGTAGCAAAGAACTAGAAGAAAAACAGGTGCTCATTGATAGGGGAATGGCTGAACATGAAAAATTCAGAGGAACTTGGTTAGACTTGTAAAAGCTAATCCAGAGCAAAGTAAAGAGAACCAGAAAACCACCAAGATGACCATAATACTGTAAAGGAAAACAATGTTGAAAGATTTTAGAACTCTGATCAATGCACACACCAAGCATGACTTCAGGAGTAAAAAGTGAAGCACTTTCCATCTTTCAGTTTTGAGACACAGCCAATGTGTTGATTTATGAAAGTACAAAAGAAAGTTTTGTTTCAGGGAAGGAAGTTATTGGGAAATGGCAGCAGAAATATTTTTGTACAAGAAAAGGCAATGGACTGAAGAGGTGTTTTTTTTTTCTGGAAAAGAATCATTTAGGACCTAAGCATTTGATTAATCATAGGGAAAGAGTAGGGGAAAGGAAAGAAAATAACTGAAAATTTCAGGACATGTGTATATAGTTAATAGTACCAAAAACATTCAAGTCTGGAGGAAAGGCATGTTTTCAAGAGAAGTCGATCAGTTTAAATTTTGGACATGTTGAGTCTGATCAAGTTCTACGGAAACATCCAGGTGGAGATAACCAGCATGTAACTTGGTATTTGGAAATGTAGTTGGAGGGAAATGTTGGATCTGAAGATGTTAGTTATAATTTGAAAGCTACAGGTAATATTAACAGCTATAATGATCTCAAAGACCTACTTGGTATGCCAACCTGAGTTTTAGTTTGAGAAACACGTCCTAGGCATTATGGTATATATTTTGAAATGCTGTTGTAGTGCTTGGTGGTATTTCTTTTTCAGCTATATGCTAGGTGGAAAAAAAGTTTTAGCTGAAGGGTTTTTTTTCCTTCACATAAACATTTGTTTTAGATTACCAGAATAACATAAAGGAAAACAACACTGAAAAGATCAATTTTTACTTTAGAGGACTGCAAGTGAAGCATAATTCAGAACTGGTGGAATTTAAGTGTGGAAAGAGGCATACATTGTGAAAACATGGCCAATACATTTATTTGTTTTGCTTAACTGTTTCTTTGTTGCAAGAGAGAGTTCCCACTGGTGGTGATGGTTGTGATTTGGGGAAGTAATGGAAAGTAAAGCAATATTAGAAAAACATCAATAGAACATTTAAAAAATAAGTAAAAATAAATTACTCTTTGGTCAGTAAAGTAAGTTTAAAGATGAGAACCTTACTTATGCTAACATGTCACATGTGGGACAAGCTCTTTTAAAGCAATTTAAAAATGAAACAAAACAAAGCCTGGCAACCACTACAAAACTTAATTTAAAGAAATCCAACTCTGCTTTATTTTTAAAAAAATCATTTTAAACTAATATGTTCAACAAATAAACAGGCAGAAAATTTAGTCAGAAAGCTAACTGTATTAACTGACACAAATAAATGTTCCAAATGTGTTACAGTGCATTATTAACAGAACTATTTACATGCATATTTACAATATTTTTTATACATAAGTTTTTGTTTTTTACCTACTTTTAGAAGTTGTAAATAAGTACAGGTTCAAGTTTGGGAGGCAATTAAATTACTTATCAGTACACAACCAAACTAAAATTAAAGGATTATTAGGGGAAAATGACTCTCTTTAAAAATTATAAAGCAGAAAAAAATACCCAGAACTATAAGTAGTAGGTGAATAAACCTGTTAAAATTCTCAAGTACAAAATTTCCAATACTACAAAAAGAAACTGAAGAAGTTATATAAATTAAATCAAAAGATAATGTTCCAGTTCTTTTCTGGAGGATAACCAAGTTAGTGATGTGAAAAAATTAAGCTTGTAGATCTAAAAAAGAAAAAAAGAAAAAGCTGCCAAAGTAGCAGAAAACGTATGCTTGACTTTGTTCTTGAAATAATTTTATCACAGAAGCCCTATTGTTATTCGAGCTTTCTCCTATAAAATGCTTTAGCTGTCAATTTTCTTCCACAAACTAATAATTTTTAAAGACCCTGGTAATCTAAGTAGTATTTAGTTTGCATATGTAACATGAGTTAAGAATGATTTCAAACTCTGAATGCTAAAGCTTTTTTCATGATTATGATTCATATTTGAGACCCAATTTGTTAGTGGGATACTTAACCTAAAATTGTATTATTAATAGCTAATAAAAAGGGTGCTACATTTATGTAGTAATGTAAAAACTAAGGTTTATTTTTTCTCAAGGAAAATAGTATTTTATTTTAGTAAGATAAGCTTCTAATCAGTAAAATTTTCTTTCAACATGTCACTTATTTCAAATAAATTTTATTGCAGCCAAAACAGTTCATAATATGTACATAATAAACTATGATATATATATATACACAATTTAAGTTATAGGAAATAAGTTTACTTTTTTTGGCAGATATTGTTAAACAAAATTAAAGTTGCATACATTAGTAACTTAAACTCAACATCCTTAATTTGGTATAAATGTGACATGTTTCCTTGCTTCCTTCTGTTTTGCTAATCACCATACCTAAACTGCCTTATAAAGATAATTTCTTTCTATCTAACTTTACTGTTTTCTCTTACGCTCTGATTCTAAGCAAAATTTTTCATAGGCTTCTTCTATTTCTGGGTCCATCTCATCATCAATGTCATCCAAGTATCTGTAAAAGAAGCAATGATGATTCTAAATTATTTATATACCTATCATTTATTCAGAAAGTAGCTGCTTCAATTCTAAGACACTGAAACAGTTGGTTATCTACTTCCTGAAGTTCTCTTGTCTCAGATTCATGGTAAAACCTAAACCTAAACTGTATCAACTTATAAAAATATTTCATGAAAAACTCTCTCTCCAACAACCTATTTTGAAAAAAACTAATTCCATAAATATCTATCTGATTTAATAACAATATGCCATAAACTACTATTCCAAACACAGAATTCTAAAATTATAATATCTCATCAGTTTGGCTCTGTGATTTGACTTTTAATGATGCTTTATTATCTGGTACTTACCAGAAATTTAATCTCACTAAAAAGACCATTCCACAATTGATATAGCTGAACTATGTAGCATTTACTTAGAATCATACTTCTAGGGTAGAAAGTAACCTTAGAGAGCATCTTAGACCATCCACTGGCCCAAACCAGTAAATTGAGGTCTGGAGAGGTTACATGACTTGGCCAACGACACACAACCTGTTAGCAACAGAGTAGAGTTAGAACTCATCTCTTGGCTCCTACACTGTAGTGAGTCATTCTACTACATAATGCTTACTGTTGTTGTTACTAAGTTCAAAATTTACCCTTCACACCTAGTCTTAAAGTATAGCTACATTTTAGCAGAGTACTATTCAAATTCTACCCCTGACAACAGCTGTGTAATCTTTGTGTCTTAGACTACTCCTAAGACTTATCTAATACTTCCATTCCCACATAAGGACACTAATAACATCACAAATCCTTTTTATATTAATAAGATTACTCAGAATAAACACTCTGTGCTTATTTTAAGTGCAAGACATAAGTTCTGTGTATCTGTTTATACAATTTTGAAAGTATAAAGTACAAAAATACAATGTTCTAAAATGAATATTTTTGGAGAGGAGAGGCTCATATTTTAAGCATGATATTGAGAAAACATTTTCTTTTTTATAAATAAAATGAAGCAAGCACTGCTGTCATATAATACCTACAAAATTATTGTTACTTTTTGATCCAGTGACCTCACTATTAGGAGTATACTTTAAAGGATATTATTTATGGGAGAAGACTTTGCACAAAAATATTTTAGCAGTATTATTTATGCTAGCAAAAAACTGAAAATACATTAAGTCAAATGGCTGAGAAATGGCTGAATAAAACTGTGGTATATTAAGTAAAGTACTACTATTCTGCCAAAATTATAAACATAAAGAATCCAAAGAAATATATAAACCCTTATAGAAAATAGGAATGAAAATAATATACATACTTGCTACAAACTATTTAAATAATAACTATAGAAGTCTGAAAATACAAACAAGATTTTAAAGGGAATATAGAAGCAAAGATGTTTCTTATCTTTCACTTAAAGTTACTTTCTGAGACAAACTGTAAATAGCAAATACTTACAGTTTTATAAAGTTTGTTTTTAGTTGATAATTATTAAGCTTAAAATTTTTTAAATTGTCATGTGTTAAATACCAGGAAACAGACAAATACAACTCTAAGTATTCAAAACATATGGCCCCTCAACATCTAATTTTCTGACAACAAATTCATCTAGGAAAATGCTTTTTATAAGAATGATGGAATATTTTAAGAAAGCTCTGCCATAGAGAGATGTTTTATAGAAAAAAAAATCAGCTACAAATGAAACATACGGATCTCCAGCCCCTGATAAGTCTGTTCCATTTTCCTCATAATCTGGGAAGAAATTCTCTCTGTCAAGTAACTCCTGATACTTTTCTTGATAATCTATATAAAAAAAAGAAATATCACAGCTTAAGATGCTTAAAAAAAAATCTTTATATACAAATATTTCTAAGTAATTCACCTATAACTATGTGACATGCTGGGTTTCTTTTCTTCCTAATAGTAGTGAAAAACTGAATTAATCCACACACTTTCAACCCATCCCTCTTCTGTGAGTTATCTAAGGTCAGGACAGAGCCTGGGACAATGGAGAAACAAAACTAAGTAGCTTCTGTGGGAACAAAACTCTAACCCCAGTTTGTTATTACTATGACATTTTTATCAAGTGAACTAACTGAAAAAAAGGTAAGATTTATTAATATTAAATATCATCTAACAATCTATTTTATTCTGCTGTTCAAATGGGAACCATGCTAAATATACATCATCCTGTAGAAGGCAATAAACAGTAGCTCAAGAAGAGAGACAATGATAACTCTGGAATTTACAAACATAGTTTATACCTGGTAGGCAATATTGCCAAGACTGAAAAGGACTTCTAACCCAGCAGTTCTTAACCTGAGGTCTGTAAATTTTTTTTGCTTTTAATATTTTGTTCATTGTATTTCAATACAACTGATTTCTTTTGTAATACTATTTATTTTATCATTCTGAAAAAGGATCCATAGGCTTCATCTGACAAAAAGATCCAGGACACAAAAAAGTTAAGACCCCTATGATAAGCAATGTGTGGTACAACAAGCAAGTGTAAGAATAGAGAGGCTGGTGATGAACTTGGAAGCAGAAGACCTGAATTTGAATGCTGGCTCAGACACTAGAACTTTGGTACCCTTGGCAACTCAATGAGACTGTTTCCTTGTCAGTAAAATGAAGACTATTCATCTACCTCACAGGGTTGCTGAAAGATCAGCTGGCACATGCAAGTAAAGATCTTTGCAAATTTTGAACTGCTAAATAAATGTTAGCTCTTATTAGTAGTATTAATGTAACATTCACCATTTATAAGGATCCTTCAGGTAGCACATAGTACAGTATTCTTATACTATATTTTAAGAAAGCTCTACCACAAATGCTTCATAGAAAGAAAAATGTTTTTTCTGTTTCTGTTAAAAACAAGTTACTTCAGGTCTGAAAAGAATGAACAAATTCCTTGTCTGATTTTTATTAAATACTATATCAACTCATTAGTCTCATCAAAAAAAGCCATTACTTTCTGGGAAACGCTTAAATGGCAAACGGGAGTGGGGTTAAAGTTGTCTGGTACTATAATTCCTACCTATGTACTTCAAATCCTAGGCTCAAATATTATTTTTTCCATGAAGTCTACCTAATCTCTCATACAGAAGGAAATTCAACCCTAAAAAACATTTTATACATTTCTCATTGCATTCCACTTTTTGTGTATTATTTTATCTTTCCTTCTAAACCAGAGGTTGACAAACTACAGCCCCTTCAAGCTATAGAACTAGCCTGCTGATGGATTTCGTATGCCCAAAATATTATTTGAAAATGTAAACACCATTTCTAAGTCCTAGACTATACAAAAACAGGTGGAAAGAGCTCAGACCATGGTTTACCAACTCCTGCTTTAGAATGAGCTACACGAAGGTAGAGACCATGTCTTATTTTCCTTTGTATTCTCGTAACAATTAATAGTGCCTTAAACACAGAAAGTGCTTTTTTGAATGAAATAATATATAGGACAAAAGTAGATTAAACTACATGACACAAATTAAGGATGCTAGAAGACTATCTACTTAATAAGGTGCCCTTTGTTCCTATTCCTGGTTTTATGTGTTGTTATTGCTTTGAATGAATGGCTGTGTGGGTGTTTTCTGCATCACAGCAAATCTATATGATAAGGTACTATATATAATATGGTATAGGCCTACATGGCTTCGTAACTGTGGGTTATTCTATTGGATCAGTTTTTTAGTTCACCAGTAAAATAAATGTGACATACTCAACTTTGATGTACTTTAGTAGGTAGTTTACTAGTATTTATTAGTATTGGAAGAAACAGAAAAACAGAATGTTATGTTATAGTGAATAACGCAATAGATTTGAAGTCAGGAAGAAACAGGCTCAAATCCTGCTTTAGTTTCCTCACCTGGAAAATGAAGGAGTTGGACCTGATGACCTCTAAGGTCCCTTTCAGCTTTAAATCTATGATTCTATGAACACAATTTCCATCAATCCTACACTACTGGCCAATGAGTACATATTTCTAACCTCCACAATTTCTCATTCTTCTGTTAATGGAACTTTCTCATAGTTAAGACTGGTGAGACAAATGTTTTTATGGCACTTAAAAAGTGCCAAAATAAATGCAATTAAGTTATCTATTTGGTTTGCTTTCATCTACCCCTCACTTCCTCCCCCGCATGTCAACACAATGCAAAATAATTTTAATATTAGCCTTATATAAAATATAACCAATAAGATATATCTGCTCCCAGAAAAGTGATATATTATACAAAGCCAAGTAATTCTTTTGTATTTTTAACTGTTCCCCGTCAATAGTAAGATTCTGTTCACATACTTATGTATATATATGTATATTTTTACATCTTATTAAGGCTCAGGTAAAAGAAGCTTATGTAATAAAAATAATAAAAACTAGCCTTTTACGTATATATGTATATTATTTATGAGTACTAATCATGTCAAATATTAGATGATCTATGGGTTAACAAAGCTATCACTTCAAAAAACAAAGAGGTCATATGTCTCCAACATAGTCAAACTTCCAAAAACTATAGTTACAGCTTACTTCTAAAGTAGACATATACAAGAGAAATTGATATGTCTTACTGATTTCCTACATATATATTAAAAGAAAGTCAATAAAATTGTTTTCTTTATAAAAATTCTCTAAAGTAGATGATAAAAAGCATAAAATCAACCAATCTTAATAAATATCTGACTGGTTGATTTCATGCTTTTTTTCATCTACTTTAGAGAAAACTTATTGTTAAAACAACATACCTGGATCAGCAGCAGTAAAAGGAATGCCATCAGATGTATAAAATGTTGGCTCATTCTAGAATTAAAATGGTATAAAATATTATGTAATACACATTAGTTTATTCAATTATTGCTTCTTAAGAAAATATTGACAAAAGATAAATCATTGACTGTCTACATTAGTAAGCCTGTAGGAGCAGATAAAAATCTATGCAGTCCATAAAAATGTACTGGAGCTTTATAGTTCTAGTATCCCACAAATCTGGTATTTATTCCCCTTATATAGGCCATTCCTCCTCATTCATGCATGGTTTTGGTTGCTACTTTGTATGCAAGAAAGTAGTAACAGTTGGCTAACATCAAATTTGGGGGACAAATAATATAGCAAATTTATTAAATTTAAAATTGTGATTCATACCCCAAATAAAGTATTTCAACTTTGAACACTGTCATACCATGAAATAATTAGGATCATTTTCAGGTGTTGATTCTCTATATGTTGAGGTGGCATGAACTCTACCCCAGTTACTTGATCGGAGTTCTACTAGCTTCAAAAGCATCTGTTTTACATCTCTGCAGTAAACAAGAGTTTATAGTACATTAGAACAATAATGGAAATTTTCTTGAAATCTAATAACACATAATCTAGTTTCTCAAAGTCCTTAGGGTTTTATTTGGCCTTGCTGCTTAAATTTTCCTATATAGTCAACATCTATCTCAATTTCTACAACTTCAATGAACATGAAGGCCTAGACTAAACTACATCTTGAACTCTGCTCTAGAATGCCATCACTAGTTCACACTCATTATTTAGTTCTCTGAGGACAAAGACTGCGCCATTTTTTTAAAGCTCTATAATGGCCAAAGCATCATAGACACTCAAATGTGTTGAATGAATAGGATATTCTTGACTTATTTCCTTATGTTACCTGCTTTTGTCCCATTTGTGAAAAAATATGTAAGAATACTAGAATTTACTTATGAAATTACATTTACTGGACTTCTAATAGAAGGTATACATCTGACTATTGATATGACAATATAAATCTTGGTATTTGTAAACGTGGTAAATAGTTATAGACCCAAGGAATGTTAGAAGTTGCTGACTGAATTATTACAATCCAAGTTCAGAATCAAATTATAACGGCAATGAAAACATTTTTAATAAGGCACTTTTACCTAGTTACCACACTAATAAACACCTCACTCAGTTATCTATACATCTTGCTAAGCTTTTAAACTGATTCTTCTGTAGGAGAAGGGGTATAGCACAAAGAATTGAAGCAAAGTGGCCAGATGAGCAAAGGTCAATCAATAAAGTAGTAACCCTTTGAAGAAAAATTTCTGCATCTCTGGAAAATATTTAACACAGTGAATTCACTTGCTCTTAACATAAAATGTCCCTAAAAAAAGTACAGTAAAACAAAACACCCCACAAATAGAAAACAGGGATGAATTGCATTAAAATTAGGCTGCTATCTATGTCACTTCTCTTCCCACCTGCTGCAATTTGCATCTAGGACAACATTTTCAATTCTCAGAATCACTTCTTCCATATCTGTCTTTCCTTTTTCCTTCCATGCATCTTCCAAAACTGACCCTGTCAACTAAGAAAGCAGGTTATTAGTAAAAATAAAGAATTCAGTAAACTACAGAAATTCTAAAAAAAAAAGGGCAAGATTATTAGTTGCATTCCTAACATTCTCTGAGAAATATCATAGAATCACTGAGCCAGAAGCAACTTTAAGAGATGATCTAGCCCAACCTCATTTTATAAAATGAGGAAACTGATGATCTGAGGTGAAATGGATTGCTCAAGATGACACTGCTAGTTAATAGCAAATAAAGGACTAACACTAGTTGCCATTGCTCTTCCCATTACAGTAAGCCATCTCATTTTCCTATTTTTTTCTTTATGACTAATAGAACTCCTAATACTACTTTGGGGTCTTCAACTTGCTATGGTTCTCTTTTGGATTAGAGAACTTTAGCCATGGCACTAATAATCATATACAGTTTTGCTTTCATTTCTCTTATACCTAGGCATTCAGGTCAGTAATCATTTAAAAAGGGTTAACTTTTTCCAGTAAATCTTTAAAATATATTGAGTGCCCTAAAGGGCACAACAATTCAAATGTAAGCACAAAATTAAACTCCATCCTTAAATAAATCTGAAAGTTAGTTTCTATAGTGACCTAGCTCTTGTATTGAAGTGGATTATTAAGAAGACAAACATAATAGATAGCACTTAATTAGTAAAATTTGGATATACCTATGCTTTTTATTATGAATGTGTACCCCCCCATCAGCATGATCTTTTCTGCATCTTAAAATTTCTCTTCTACTTTTTCAGTCAAAAAGAAAATAAATCCTAAGTGAAAACAATTAACACAAAAGTTAAATGTTCTTTCTGCAATTGATCCTTTATTTATCCACTGTTCACATAAAGATCCTTCTTTGATAGAAAGGAACCAGCTATTTGTGAAAAGAAGTGCTTCAGTTATTTTGTGACATTTTACAGAGCTACACGCTACCCATATCATGCAAAACTTAAGATTAACACCTCATAATTGAAGTGAAGTTAAATGAGCAAAAAATAAAGAAAAACCATAAAGTATCTCATCAAAGACTCAGACCCCCAATTATTAAACAAGGTAAGGATATCTTAAAACTGTATATAAACATATGCATATAATTATGCATGTGTGTGTGCGTGTATACCCCCACCCCCAAAAGAGCAGGTCCACATATGTAACTGAGCTGTGTTTCCAAAGTTCATTTTTAAAGATGGCCCAAGTATAACTTTGTTTCTCTGGGAAAATTTAAGTGCTTGGTAAGTGCCCACTTGAGTCCACAAAAGCTCATTCAACGCTTTATAAAGAATACTGCCATTTAACATAAAGAAGAATAGCAAACAATACAACTGCAACAGTAAACCAAAATATAAAAATAAAAACTGAATAAAAGGTTTTTATTTTTCTTGAATGCTAGTGCTTGAGGAAAATCAACTTTAATTGAGGAAGTAAGAGACATCAAGTGGAACCTTTTTGCATACATTTCTAGAATCTTTCAAAGGGGAACTGGCAGCCCCAAGGCCACATGTGGGCCTCTAGGTCCTCAAGTGCAGCCCTTTGACTGAATTCTAATTTCACAGATCAAATCCCCTTAATAAAAGAATTTATTCTGTAAAACTTAGACTCAGGCAAAAGGCTGCACCCAAGGACCTAGAAGGCCACATGTGGCCTTGAGGCCCACAAGTTCCCTATCCCTGAACAGCATGCTAACAATGCTAATTTTTTAGGTCACAAACTAGATTGGCTCATAAACAAGAAAAAAAGAGGAAAAGAAGAAGGAAATGAGATTTTTCTAAAGTAACTAAAGAAAAGTTGGGAGAGAAAGGCTAAAAATTACCAATAACAAAACTGCCTAAGGTGAAATACTGAACTATGAATAATGAAAAAAAAAAGGAAAAAAGGGGGTGAGGAAGAAACAGGGTTAACACTGCCTGTTTATGATAACCCTTATGGGTAAGAAATAGTGTAGAGAGAAAGAGATGATAGGCAGGAAGTTCTCTCTAGGGCACACAATCAGCTCAGCAAAAGCTTGAAACATCTCCAGATGTTTCAAATTGAAGAGGTTGTTAGGCTATTCCTATACACAGGACATGTTCACGTTTCATGTTTTGAACTCCAGGGCCTCTATATGAAGACAAATATTTATGTTAAATAATCAAGTATCAGCATGCTTCTCTTCCTATTGCCCAATTATTTCTTTTGTAGCATTTAGGGAAGGTTGCTGCAAAAACTGCTCATTGTAATAAAATTCTGCTTCCATTGAATACTTTATAGAAGTTTTAATGTTATATCTCTTAGTTTCATGAAGAATCAAAATGGAGTATTTGAGGAATATTTGTTAAGGAAGGCAACAGGAAGTATAATCATTAGAATTAAGAACAAAAGCTAGAAATAGTGAAAACTACCACTGAGGCCAGAGGTGCTGGGAACCCCAAAACTCAAGGTTACTTTAGACTTTACTATAACTTACAAGTGGATGATGGAATGCCTTCAAGCAAATTTCCTTAAAGTTATGTGAGTGGAAAGGTTTTCATATAACTAACCATTAGAATAATAAAAATTAACAGTACTTTTTGTTATGTGATACAAAACATTTTCATTAAATAGCAGGAAAAATCATAAAAACTGAATTAAAGTTCACAAAAAAGAACATGAATAAGAATAAGGTGTTAATATTTTTTAATCAGCCCTCAATAAGCATTTACTTAAAAGCATAATCCTAGCATATACTAGCACTGTGCTTACCCTTTAGCTCTTCAATGTAAGAGTGTAAAATGTATCTGAAGTTCTTGTTAAAAATACTTAGTATGTGCATTGCAATATATAATGTGGCCTCAATTTTTCTTTTTTCTAAATACAACAGATACAGTGAATATTAAGATATGAAAGAAATTTTTTTAGTAAACCCCTACCTTCAGTAGTTTTACTGCACAGATTAAATTGCTGTCCACAGGATTAGAAAAAAGGGCGTTCAGTAATTCCCGAAGACCAACCTGAAGAATATCTGCTCTTGTAACCTGCCCCTTTGTTCCCTTAATCTATGAAACAAAATAAAATGATTAAAACTTTGCTACCACATCATAAAGCTCTAATTGGACAAAGTTTAAGGGTTATGGAAGAATGTTTATGTTTAACTTAAGAATAAAAAGTATATTTTAGTTCTACAAACTGGTATCTTAATGGAATTACCTTGTCATAATTACCTTACACATACCCATAAAGCTTATCTCTATAAATTGATCAGGTTACTATAAAAATGCAATTTTCTCAAAATTTTCAAATATCCCAAATAGCAGATAGAAATAAGAACTAATTTTAAATGTCTGCAATACAAAGAACAAATTAAGAACGTTACACAAATAGATAATGCCGAACTTGGAGTAGTGAAGATGAGAATTTGAATCATGATTTAGACACCTACTGGCTAAGTGACCTTGAGTAAATCACTTCAAGTCAACAAGCATTTATTAAGTACCTACTGTGTGCCAGACACTGTGCTAAGCGCACTTGAGATCTCAGGATTCAGTAAATTCAGGGGAGTTCAAGAGAACACCAAAATAAAACATAAACAGAAGACGGCACAGGACAAAGCCCTGGTGTACACATGTACATAGAAGCAGGACATCAATGATGATTCAGCAAAGGAGACTTAAAAAGAAGGGATCAGCAAGGTAGAAGAACCAGAAGAGGAGTATCATGAAAACCCAAGGATATTCAGGAGGAAGGTATGGCCATAAGAATCAAGTGCTACAAAGAAGAATGGGGACTGAAAAAAGGACAGTTAATTTGGCAACAAAGAGCTCTCTGGTAACCTTGAAAAATGAGAGGTGAGAAAGGGAAGGAAATGAGTAAAAACACTAGGAGTTTGGCTATAAAAGCAAGACAGCTATAGGACAGTAATTTGAGTTGATGACAGGGTTAACTGAAACTTTTTTAAGTATGAAGAATTTAGCCCATTTGGAGGTAGAAGGGAAGGAATTAGCAGACAAACTGCATTCAAGAGAGACAGAGAAAGGATGGGATGATCAAAGGGTAAGCTCTTAGAAAAGAAAGGAATAGGATCAAAGGCAAAATCAGAGGGGGTTGGCCTTGGCAAAGAGAGTGGCCACCTCTTCCTCTAAGACAGGAATAAAAGAGGAAAAAACAGGATGAAGTTGAAAGAATCTAAGAACATAATTCTGAAAAGAAAAGGGAGCTTATGGTGGTAGGCCTCAATTTTCTTGGTAAAGTATGTAAAAAGGTACTGCTTAGGGTGAAAGGACTGGAAGGAAATATATACTGTGAAGAGCATAATAGGGAGTCAATCAGAGAAGAATAAAATAATTACCAGGAAGTAGAAAAGACAGTTAAAATAAGACAATAAATTTGAAGTACACCCAGTCAACATTCTTGGATGACTTCCTCTAGTAGCATTCAGCAGAACAGGAGTAGGAACTTGTAAGACAGATGGTAGGGCTGATCTAGGATCAGGTGTTTGGAAAGCTGCTCGTAGAAACAGGTCAGGAAGGCAAGGGATTCCAGTGTACAACACAATGTAAAGCTGAACTGGTTAACTATAGACTGGGAATGGAAGAGAATGAGACTATAGCAGGGACTGTGTTACTAGGAAAGCAAGGAATCGAGAAGTGACTGGAAGCTGTAGTAAAAATCAAGAGCAGGCTTAGGAAATTCCATTTTACTGCAATTTCTTCAGGTGTTAAAGTTTTCTTCCTTTGCCCATATTCAATTTAAATTAGGTAGTCATTTGAGAATATTAACAGGAAGAAGAAATTATGCAGTTACATAACCAACCTTTATCAACTTGGTTGAAATAGTCTAATTGCTTTTTAAAATTCACACATCAATTAACAATGGAAAACAACCACATTTATAGAATTTTTCGAGTTTGGAAAGGACATTAGAGACTTACTCCAATGCTTCTCAAATTGATTTGAAATATACTAAAAGATCCTTACTGTTACAGAGGGAGTATGGGGTACTAGAATAAACTTGGGATAAAGGGAGGAAAGGAGAAAGAGGAAATTCTGAAGTGGAGCAGGTAATGGACATGGATGTGAGATTTGTTGTAATGGTACAAGTGACAAGATTTAGCAATGTGAATTTTGTGAGAGCTGAGAATAAGGTATAGAAACTCATAATTATAATTTTGGCCTGAACAACCGGTCCAACATCTATTAGAGCAGGGATTTCCCCTTACAACATTTCAGAGTAAAAATAAATTTTTGTTTAAAGATCTCCAGTGAAAGGGACTGTCCTCAAAAGACCCATAAAAAACAACAATTCTAGCAGCATTTTTTTTTTATTGAAGTAAGGAACTGGAAACAAAGTAGGTGTTACTTGTCAGTTGAGGAATGGCTGAACAAATTATGGTATATGAACAGAATGGAGTTATTACAGTACCATAAGAAATAGACTCAGGGGAAAAAACTAGGAAGTTTGTATGAAATGATGCAGAGTGAAGTGAGCAGAACCAGCAGAATTATTTAACAAAGACCATAATATTGCAAATGAAAATAACTTTACAACATTTAAGAACTCTATCAGTACCACAGTCAATCAGAACTCCAGAGGGTTGATGAAGCATGCCCCCCTCTTTGGCAAGGTAAATGACCATAGGTCCAGAAAGAGACATGCATTTACAAACGAAACCAATACAACACAACATGTTTTTCTTTCGCTATACTAATTTGTTAAAAGGGAAAGGCTGAGGGGGGGAGGGTGACGGCGAGAGAGAGGAAGGGGGGGAAAGAGGGGAAAGAGAGACGAAATAATGGTAATAATGCAAAAAATAATGTTAATGAAACAAAATTCAAAGTAGAAAACAGAAGGAAATTCATAATAGGACACAGACATGGGCAATACAACTGTGACTACATTAAACTTAAAAATAACTTTAAGTAATTGATTCATGGTTTCACACATAAAACTTTTCTATCCTTCTCTGTATATGGAAATGTTCATATTTATGGATGATTTTTTAGTTGATAATCCCCTCCAACACAGTCCGTTCTACTTCTCATCAAACCAAAAACTGCTTTTCTGCAATATTTGTTTAGCAAATATATCTCATCTCTCTATCTCCATGACAAGTCTTCAAATGTTTGGAAAACAGTTATCTTTCTACACCTGCACATATCTTTTCCTTCCCAGGCTAAATACTTCAAGTTCTTTTAATCAATCCTACGGTTTCAAGTCCCATAAATCATCCTGGTCACTCACCACTAGATATATTCCAGATAGTTAATACTCTTCCAAAAATGTGACATACAGAATTACAAATAACACTTCAATTGTAATCTAACCATGACTATCACCTTCTTTGTTCAGGACATTAGATGCTTTAATATTAAATGAAACAAAAGACCACATTACGTTACAGGAGCCTAATTATGGATGCCCAATGTCAATACTGACACCTTCTTTAGGGAATAAAAAACCAGAAATAAGTATAGCTAATAATAATCAGGCATTGTTAGACTGGATCTTACCAGGTTGTTATCATCACCATAACTTACATCAACATTCAACAACCTTTTATTAAGCAGCTATTTGGCAAGGTACTGGGAATACACAGTCTTTGCCCATAAGGAATTTATAATCTGATGTGTGTGAATGTGGCAGCACAAATTAAGATATTAGACAGCAAAATCAATAAATATCCTCCCGAACTTCCCACCCCCACCCATTACGAAGTGGGAGAAAACCTAAGGCTAAATACCATAGGTATTGCTAAACACATCCCTCCCAGCTGATTACCAGTTGCTCCTTTAAATACCCTCTGATTCTAATCAAATGCTTTACCAACACCAAACAATGCATTCTCAATAGCTTCCACTCTACCCTACTAAATGTTTCACATCTCTATTCACCATTCAACAGACATTAAGTACATACTATGTGCCAAACGCCATATAATCTCTCTTCTTTATTTGGAAGAGCAGCACAATTCACCACTCCCTTCATAAGTTTATCCCACAGAACAACACAGGGGAAACCTCCTCAAATATTACATGAACACACCTGTGTTCACTTGCACTGCTCCCTAATTCCTCATTGTCTCCCAACAGATATATGTGTATGTGTGTGTGTGTGTATATATATATATACACACAAATACATATACACACATATAGTGCTGCATGTTACATAAATAATAGTGCTTACGGTTTATTAAATTCCCTGTTTTTCTCCCACATTAACTATACATATAGGTCTATGCATATACATGTCTGTCATTCTATATTTCCACTATGTGTTTTTTGTACCTAAACCTAAGACTAGATTCATCCCCATTAAATGTCATCCTTAAATCTGGTCCATTACTCTAATCTATTGAGAACCTCTTGTCTTTTTGGAGCCTGGTTCTTTCATCTAATATACTGACTATTCCTTCTAGCTCAATGTTATCTGAAAATAGATGATGATACTAATAACATATTATTATAATGTATAACAATATATAATACATAATTGTACATTATAGTGTACAATATATTAATATACTGAATTTTAATAATAATGATGATGATGATGATGATAAAGCATGTTATACATGCCTTTATCTAAATCAATGACAAAAATATTGACCAGAACAGGGGTGAGGATAAGAGTCCCAGAACACTCTACTACAGACCTCCCTCCAGGCTGACATGAATCACTACTTCTGAAATTGATTCAATCAATTTAAGTAACTATCACACAGTTCATCTACCTACCTTCTCCACAAAATCGTGTCAAAAATTGAGGTAGACTATCCCATCAATCTGTCAATTAAATTAAAGAAATAAGATTATCCTGACTTGACTTGTTTTTGATGAAGTTTTGCCAGCTCATAACAACTACAGCTTCCTTCTTGAAATGCACACAAACCATCCCTTTAATTAATGCATTTTAGAACTGTTAGGATAGGTTATCAGTCTCCCTGGTCTACAGTTGGAAGAATCCACTTTAAAGATCTACTTTTAAGGTTTGTAACCTTAGCACCATCTGTTACTACATCACCTTCTCTCAGCCCAGATATCTAATCTTGTCATTTTCA